TCCATTTTACATAGTTAGTAATATATATGCCTATTTATGCTCTATTTCCTGCTTCACATAGGCCATATCTATTACAGCCTTAAGATTATAGTCCTCTGTTTATCATTTAGGCCTATATCATTGATTCTGACTATTGATCCATAACATTGTTCTTACAGATTTTCTATTCTCTTCACAGTTCATTAGTTTAAGATTATACATAGTTTATCATATCTAGTTAATACAGCCTAATTACCATCTCTTCCTTCAGACACTCTTACGCTGACGAAGGCAGCAGGTGCTGCCGAAAATTTCGTTGAATAAATGTACATGTCTCAAATTATGTCAAAGTGTCCGGCGTTTATGTTAACAACTGCAGTGTTATTTTATATATATATATATATATATATATATATATATCATTGTAAATCCACGTGTGTTCTTCAAATTATATATAAGTCGTTGAAACAAAAAAATTATGACAAGGCATGTAGACTGTAGAACACTTCATTTATTTTCGAAAGAAATGAAGTGTTCTACAGTCTACATGCCTTGTTGTCATAATTTTTTGTTTCAACGACTTATATATATATATATGTACCGTATATATATATTATATATATAAAGCCTCTAATTTCTTCACACTCATAAGCCTATATACCGATGTTCTCTAATGATTCAGGAGATAAAATGTTTGTTTTACTCCTGTCTCTTATACACATCTAGATGTGTATAAGAGACATTATTATTATTGATTTTATTTATTAGTCTTAGTATTATAATTTTAATAATAGTAATTTAAAAAGTTGTTGTTATTGGCGTTTTATTAGTATTTTTCTCATATTATTATTATTATTATTAATATTATTGTTGTTGTTGTCAACTTTATTATCGATATTATTACCCTATTATTACTAAGTTGGCCTAGTATTAAGTATCATTATTATTATTACTAATTAGTATTACTATTATTATAAAAATAAACATCTTTAATTTAATATTGTATTATTGCTATTATCACCTTCAATATCGTTATTATCACTAATTAGTTATTAAAACTGATATTTAAATATCGTTATTATTACCATACTAGTATTATTACTATTTGTTAAAATAAATATTACTATTAATGATGATGTTGTTATTATCACATTTATTATCGTCATAATGACTAATTAGTATTATTAATGTAAATATTACTAATTTATTGTCGTTATTGTTGTTTAATATTATTGTTGAAGTAGAATGTTTTTAGCAAACAGAAGATGAACACATTAATAAATAACTCTTTTTAATTCATAGGCAATAGCATTCAAATCTCTTTTGGTAGTGTGGTGGTCTTGTTTTACTAAAACATCTGTGTACTTTATTTCAATCATATATTGAAGAAAAAGGGTGCAAAAACTTAGATTTACATTAAATAACTTGTGGCCGAGTTGATTTGTGGCCGAGTTGGCAGAAGCCGAAATTTTTGTGGCCGAGTTGACTTGTGGCCGAGTTGACTTGTGGCCGAGTTGACCTGCACCCGACTTGACTGGATCCCAGCCCGAGGCAAGAAAATGCTGACCTAGGCTAGAGTAATTGCCAGGCCTCACAGGGCTAGGCTAGATTTAATATATAGGGTGGTGGTAGCTAGGTAATTTACCTACCTTTAGACTAAGCCTAGGCCCTAGACTAAAGTCTAAAAAACTAACAACTGTGAACCAAACTTTAATTACACTACAGTACAGTTTGATTCCACCGCACCTCACTACCAAAGATAATAAATAGCGCGCGGCACGTAAAATTAAAAACGCCCTCTATATCGTCAACGCTGAACCCGCGTTTTGTAATGTACATGTTGGATCAGAGAAACAATTTTGCAATAATAATGTAGCCATGCAATTGTTTTCATTAAGAAATATTGTCTGTGATTAAAATCAAGGAAACTCCTAAACTTTGTATTACTAAATTGATTTTTTGAAATATCTCTATCACCCTAAATAAAAAATAAAACCGAACGATGTAAAAAATAACTTAAAATTTGATCTGTTCAAATGGTGTTTAGTAACGTCATTGTCGAGTGCATGGCTGCGTTTAATAATCTACAGTATTTATTTTGTATTTGATGTACAAACTTTGGTCAGAGGCAGCTTAAGCAAAATTTTACTATATATCATTAAGAGTCAGTTGCCCCATTAATAAATATAAACATAAAAAACATTTAAATACAATACAATAAATAGCATAAATAGGCCTATCATAATTTAAAAATTCAAACTCTGTCTCTTATACACATCTAGATGTGTATAAGAGACAGAATTAGTATTACTATTATTATAAAAATAAACGTTATCTTTAATTTATTATTGCTGTTATTATTGCTATTATCACTAATTAGTATTATTAAAATAGATATTTAAATAT